CCTGCTGATTCAGGCTGCTTCAGTCAGTCCTGCGACCATGCAGTCTGGACAAGATAGAGCTGTTGACCCACTTTTTTTTTTTTGCATTTTCAATTATCCTTATGGCCGTGCTCATGCTTGACCACTGCTTCACAGCTGATGTGTGGTCATTATAGTGATTTAGCAACGTGTGCCACTTGCAGACCTTAGCCCAGGCTGGGTCGATTGTGGTTTCTCAGGCGTTTTTAGCAGCTTTAGAGAACTACAGTAATGGCGTCTCCAAAATAAATGTGAAACATTTTAAATCTTTGTTTTTTTAATTTGATTTTTTTAGTGTCATAATCTTAATATTACATAAATAAGATACATTATTGTAACAGATAACAGCAGGTACCTGTATGTGTTTCACACTGATTTTTAATTGTGACTAATCCAAATGATGGAATTATTAGCATGAAAAAATGTAAAGAAAAGTATGCAAAAAATATAACTTAAAATTTAACATCATAATTGTTGGCAGATTGTAGTAAGTGTGAAATTGATTCTGGACGTTGAAAGGGTATTTTAAGATTCAATGAAACAAAAATTGTTTCCTGCAGTGTGTGACAATAACATTTTGTTAGTTTACTGTGTAGTAGCCACTAGGGTACACGAATCAGTGTTTTATAGTGCCGGTCCCAAGCCTGGATAAATGGTGAGGGTTGCGTCAAGAAGGGCATCCGGCGTAAAACCTTTAGCTAAATCAAATATGCGAATCACTAAAACGATTTCCATACCGGATCGGTTGAGGCCCAGCTTAACAACGACTGCCAACAGTGCTGTTGACCTACAGGGTACTGATGGAAATTGGACTACTGTTGGTCAAAGACAGAGAAGAAGAGGAGGGCGATTCATTCGGACAGTAAGAGAAAAGAGGAAGGATAGAATTGTTGGCCTTAAGTTTGGAACTCTGAATGTAGGTACAATTACAGGGAAAAGTAGAGAACTGGCTAATATGATGGAGAGAAGAAGAGTAGACATTTTGTGTGTCCAGGAGACCAGGGGTAAGGGCAGCAAGGCTAGAAACATTGGAGAAGGCTACAAACTGTTTTATCATGGTTCAGATGGGAAGAGAAATGGAGTAGGGGTGATCCTAAAGGAAGAATATGTAAGAAATGTGGTGGAGGAGAAACGAGAGTCAGACAGGTTGATGTGTGTGAAGGTAGAAATAGAAGGAGTGATGATAAATGTTGTTAGTGGTTATGCCCCACAGGTGGGCTGTGAGTTAGAAGAAAAGGAGAAGTTCTGGAAGGAGCTGGATTAGATGATAGAGGGTATCCCCAGGGGAGAGAGAGTGGTGATTGGAGCAGACCTTAATGGTCATGTA